ACCTTAAACTAAGTTAGATAATAAAAGCACTTGTCTTATCCTTGACCCAAGCCCAAAGGAATGGTGTAAAAGCCGTATTAAGCCGTTCTCTATTTTAAAAGATTTCCGTGTTGATGGAAGAAAGATGAAAGAAGAAAAATTCTGAAGAATTTTGCAGAAATTTGAATTTCGATCTATTGTCTAGAATTTCTCCCGTTACATCACAGGTCACTTTAAAGGTACCAGGAGAATCGCTCAGCGAAGGAGAACTCAGTTAAGCCATTTATAAGGCTGTACAATGTAAGCTGAAAGGGTTATAAGCGTTTGAAAATTGTAAATTTGGCCGCCATTTTGAAAAATCAACCTCAACCCTACATATATGCTACCGCCTATATAATAGGCAGAGTTTGTCTTAATGTTTTTCTTTCTGGCTAAACAATTAGAAACTTTAAAATAATCCCTAAATTGCATAGGCAGAGTTTGTCTTAATGTTTCTCTTTCTGGCCAAATAATTAGACACTTTAAGTGAATATATAGCATTTCAATGATATCAGAAAATATACGCAACACAGTAGATGAATGAATCCCAAACTTATATGCTAGTTCAATGCCAGAGCTACCAAGTCTCAACCTCATCAAAGTAAGCATTAATTGCTGAAATGATGTCAGTGATGTATGGCCAGTAGGTTGTGGCTTAACAAACACAAAGAACTTCAAAAGTGTATCCCAATCAGTGAGGGCAGTAAAAAAGCGAACCTTTTCATCCCTTTCATTAAAGTCGTCCTCACCATATGCATATGCTGTACAGTTGGTTTGCTTCTCACGTACCATGTTAATCTCTTTTTCTGCATAGTGTAGAAGTAATTTCTCATGTTATATTTGTAATGCTTCATGTTTCCTCTTCAAATCTTCAAAATCCTTTTTTAACTTCTCATAGTCTTTTTAAGGAAGATGTCATATGATTGGAGCTCAGTTGGCATGACACAGTGGCTACACTTTCAAATGGAGCTTCTAGTGAGGCCTAAAAGCAATAAAATGATAACAGTAAAGTATATGATGCTAACAACCTTACTTCTGACAAAGAAAGTAGACCTTCACAAGCATCTAATCGCCTCCTCTTTTCTCTCATTTGATTCCCTTCATATCTTCCTAATGATGAGGAATCAGGTTCTGGTGCCCCACCCATGTTAAGTGATGGTTCCCAGTCAGGATTTGTCTAATCATACAAAGATGCTGGCTTGCCTGACAAAGTAAATAAAATAAAATATATCTAAGGTAGGCTATTATGTCTTATGGCCATGTTTACATAACTATGATTAATTATAGGTCTGATAATTAGGGTCTCAAAGAGTTTTTTAAACAAAACAGCATATAAAATTAGAAGGAAAAAATGAATACTAAACTGGATAATGTACTTCTATAAATGAACACTAAAATTCAAATGAAAACGCAGCTGTAAAGTGGTGTGTAAACAAGTGTAAAGTGCTGTGTATACTCAACACTTAATATAACATAAACAAGACTATTAGTACCGGTAACAAAATGTTTAGTACAAATTTGAGTAAACTTGGCAAACTTTAAGTCCACTCTATGGATCCTAGCCAGCCACAAAAGTCTTCTTTTTCTAGATAACTCGCATGTTCTCTGGCCTTGATGCAAAATTTCAGCAGGAACTCGAAAGAAACTGACACCATTGTCTCGATCTGATCTCTTACTACAGCCAACTACAGCACAAAAATTGACCATGTTGTTCTCCAATATGGCCGACAGGAAGTGACGCGTCACTCGTGACGTCACGTGCAATGGGTCTATAGTCATGCAAATGCAATCATTAATGATCTGGGCGCGCAACTATACTCATGAGTATTTGTCAAAGAGTTAAATCATCCATAAACAGCAAATGATTGATGCTAACCTTCTTTTATTATTATTATTATTATTATTATTATTATTATCATTATTAAAACAAACAGGCAACAGGAACATCATCAATACACAATTAGAATTGGTAAAATTAAGTCAGTAGGAAACTAATAGGTTAATTAAGTTATTGTTATTTAGTAAAAGAATAGAAGTGGGTTGACGCCTAACCCATCCTCAATAGTTGTCCCTCTCCACTTAGATCTAGTGCCGTGAATACATAAGTTGGTTGCTCTAACAAGAGTGAAGGACAGCTTAGTTGTAACCCAGTTCAGTCACACTGTAGTGTAGATCCCATCTGCCAGAAAGACGGTCAGCTAAACGATTAATAAAGGATCTCATTTCACTACCCATAACACTATCAACTTTCAAACACAGTGGAGTGAAACTACTGTGGTTAGACTCAGGGGCATATGTAAGCTGTGAGAATCGGGAAAGTGTACAGGGAGGAGAGGTGGTGCACGAAGCGCGCAGCAATTTTGACCACACCCCTTTTTACTGCACTATCCCTGCTAAAGTATTGTTTTCTGCGCATGTTTAGCTTTTCCAGTTTTATGGGCGCCATCACCATAATTTCAGGCACTCTAGCGCTTCCTACTGCCCTTAAAGCACTGGAAAATGCAAAAAATGAGGTTGAAATGATTGTTCAGTGTGTTGCATAACTTTCTTAAGACACTTAGCTGTGATATGAGACACCAGTGTTGATCCTTCAGGCTAATAGGGGTGCTAAAGCACCCTCAACACCCCCTAAATGCTTACCTTTTCTATTGTAGCAGTACTGGCCTTGATGAGACATTGAAAAAGACTCAGCACAGTTTCGTAGCCATTTTTCACTCAATTAATTTAATATTAAGGTGAATAGTCTAACAACAGATTGTTTAATAGCAGTTATTGTTTTGAAAATGGTGGCCCAAATGCCCGAATGGAATTATGGAAGTCTCTACCGTGTTATCATCACATTTATACTACTAAAACTATTAGCTATGCTAGTCTTATCTCATTGCTTTCATCATAATTAAGTGAGAAATACTTTTAAAAGGAGTAATATACAAAAGAATTTTTTCACTTTTGCTTAGGTGGTTGGGCACATGCCCACCCAGGCCCACCCTTAGATACGCCCCTGGCGGACTCACCAGCTGCAACATATTTTCTCTTTGTATCATTTTCTGCAGTATCTAAGACAGCTTGAGGTGTCCTCTTAGCATCAGAGAGGGAATCTGAGTCAACTACTTGGACATCAAACATCAGCAACAAGACCTTCTGAGTTGGTAGTCACGTTTCGTTCTTGTATAATGGGCTCTCTCATAACATTGTTCCTTGCAATAGATGACAAGTCACACAAAAGGTCACAAATCTCGTTATGTCTCTGAGACACAAGTCCTGCCTTTCTGCAGTCAAGAGCATGAACAGTAGAGAATGTGGCCCCACAACCATCACATAGACTGACCAAAGGCTTCAGGTATCTCATAAAAATAGCATCTCTGAATTCCTGAGAGAATAGATTAAAGTTATTGTTCTGGACAGGTAAGGCACACAACCAGTGTGACAGAGAATCTCTTGCCCGTAAGATTGCTCTCTTATGATATTGATACATTCCTGTAGCACTCCATTTATGATACTGAAAACAACAAACGTATTAGTGTAAAAAAATTCCTAAGACCACTGTATACTTATTGCTCACGTATATTGTTTCTAGCATTATAATTATTAACTATTAATTATTAACACATTTTTATAATCATTATGCAGACATTCATGCGTACTGAAACATAACACCTATATACACAAGACAACACAATTATCATACTATAATCATCATTTTTCATCATATCATCACTCCAAAAAGCGTAATTATATTGATCTTATCATCACTCCGAAAAGCGTGATTATATTGATCTTATCATCACTCTGAAGAGCCTGGTTATATTGATCTTATCACTCCGAAGAGCATGTTTCTTTTGATAGAGATAGAGTACATTTACATGCATTGTATGATCATACATTTATACATACATTAAGCATAATACAAAGGAGCACAATACATGTACATACATACATAGCCTAAACACATTCATACATCTACAATATATATGCACAAATTAATAATAACTATATATAGTCGGCTTCAGTTGAGAAGAAACCACCACCACCCCTTATAACTTTTTGTCACTAATGCTAGCAAATTGAAATTTGGTATAGCTGCATAACGGGTTCTTCCGAAAATCCTTACCAATTTTTGAGTTTCTAGGTACTCTGGAAGGTTCTAAACGGGTTCTTCCTCATGAAATGAAAGGAGCTGCCATGACAAATTGTGTGCGTAACTCGAATGAAATCATTTGCATCTCATTACATTTAGTCAAACAACAATGTTTTTATTCTAAAATTGAAACAAAACATATCAAGCCCTCTAGACCTACTAATATTCAACTAGGAGCTTTCTCTTGAGGATAATTTTTGCTATATCACTCTACAGCCTTCTCAATCTTAGTTGTTCTTCATTGCCAGTACACTCGTTGATTCACCCTTATTCCGAGCTCTATACCAGCTGAAAACAGGCACCAAAAACAAGAAAAAGATAGATGGAGGTAGCAGCAATCACTGTAGAGGTACAATAGATAGTAAAGTAAGTTAAAAGAGAAGAAACGCTCGAAGAGTTACAGAGCTTGCAGATTGCAGCCATGTTCGGGCGGGGCTACACGTGACGTTCTAATGACATAAATATCCGTTTCTTCTCAACTGAAACCGACTATACTTTACGTTTATAAAACATCCAATACATAATACATGTTTATACATACAATACAAACACAATCATAATACATTTATGGTAAATATACACTCAAATCATGAATTTTATTTAATTTAATCAAATATCATATCCACTCTAAAAAGCTGGATTTTATTAATGGTATCTTCACTCAATACTAAAAGCAAAAGTAAGATTCTACTTCTGGGCCCACCATCCATCCCCAATCTCCATCCATTAATATAAATAGAGTCAAAAGTTGTATGTTGTACTATAATATAGACCACAACACTTATGTGGTTTTAATTTGTATTATAGTATTATCTCTTGACTATCCCAGAAGACACATCATCATTTATAATCTATGGTTCCTTAGTCTATTCATTTCATCATTTGCCACTGTTGATAATGTGATTTTCTTTTCGACTAGTCCTAGTTGAGCAACTCCTTGAAGTGTTCTTACTCTACTTAAGGCAACGTATGCCATTCCATCTTCAAACATTTTAGGACCTAGATCGATAACATCAGCATTAAGAGATAGACCCTGAACCTTATGTCTGGTAGCTGCCCAGCAAGGTAGTAATGGTAATTGTGTACGCTGTAATGTTACTCCTTGCTTGTCATAGAACTTGGCCGTGACTGGTTCTATTTGAACAGCTTCTTGTTCTAATGAATCATCAATTGTGTCACAGCTCACTAGACCTACAAGAGGGTCATGAAATTTTACATATACTTTTTGTGGTAAGTCCCCTTTCTTTGATTGATCATCAGCTCCATTTGGCCAAGAGAAACCCACAATTATTCCTCTAGCTCCATTTACTAATCCTTCCTCACATAAAATGTTACGTCGTAACATAACCTGTGCTCCTATGGCTAACATCACTTTACGTGATAAGCCAGCACAATCTCTATCACTGGAAGGTATGAGCGAATCTGGGACTTCTTCACGTGCTACTACACCAGGGATTAGTGTTGTTGACTTTACTATTTAATGCTCTGCATCAAATTCATATATTTTAGTAGAGTGTGATGAATCTTTAAATCTACTGTCATTATATTCTTCTACTTGTTCTTTTAAAAGCATTGGACGTAATGCATCAACAAATGGAGGTTGACTGACATTAATGGGATCCCTGATACAACTTGTCAATCTTGATCGGAGTACACTGATGTCAGACTTTGTCTGAGAACCAATTCTCACACGATTGAGAATTTCTGAATATTGTGTGTCTCCTCTTTGTCTCATATGGTGAGTTAGTTCTACTAATTTGAACTCATCCCTCCACAAGTGTGTTGAGCCTGGATTGCAGCCTCTGCCATCTTCAAATACAAATTTGTCCCTCACTGGTGGCAACTGATAGAAGTCACCTACTGCAATGACATTTAGTCCTCCAAAGAGAACCTCAGTGTCATCTGTTCCTTTAATTTCAGTTAGCCTCTTGTGAATGAAGGACATTGTTAAGTATGAGACCATACTTATCTCATCTATTATTATGGTGTTGACATATTTCCAGGATTGTCTTAGTTCCTTTAATGTCTCACCTCCAAGCTTTCTATAGGCAGTGGAGTGTCCATGCTTTACAGGAAGATTGAGAGCCCGGTGAACAGTTAATCCACCAATATTAAAGGCTGCAACACCAGTTGGTGACATTAAAACAAAAGTATTTCCAGCACCAATATGAGCTCTTTCTACATGCTCTTTGACGACACTTATTACATGGCTTTTACCAGTTCCAACACCACCTGTTATAAACATACGAAAAGGGCTGGGCATTGACTCTCTGGTCCTCATTTGAAAATCATGTACTGCTCTAAAAAACTCAAGGACATTCTCATAAGGGACTTATTGGGAATCATAAAGACTCGCTATCCTTGCTTCAAAATCTGAGTCTGAAAAGCGACGCCTTGAGATAGAGTCTAGAGTCAATGCATCTTTTATTTCACCAATATTTCGTTCTATATTTTGACCGCATAGATTTTAATGATCATTATTATCATCAGCTAATAATGCGGCTATATTATCAAGATATAACTCATGGTCATATATTTTATCATGACCATCACCTTTGTTATTATTTTCTAAATTTACGTGTGAAGTACAAGGAGCAACAGGAGCGTACACAGCATCGCCATATTGATTTAGTACACGTAATTGCTCCGTCGCTCTTTGTACTTCATGAGCAAAAGAGGAGTGTTGTTCTGTACTTAATACTTGAAATTTATCTTTATTTGCTACAAATGATGCTTGAGCAGAGCCATGATTTCCAATTAAATCAAGAGTCTCATTTCTCCATGGAAGATAAAGAAAGATTAACTGATAATATTAACTATCACCATGAGACTCTAGTGTTATTGTTGGTAATCTGAAGCATGCTTACTTTCATCTTAGATATATCTTTCCTAGACCATTCTTTAGTTTATATCTAGGTTGAGCACAGGAAGTTGTTGCCTCAATTTTTATCAGCAACGTTGTACCATACAGAAAAGTGTGCTAGACTCATACTGTGAAATGGTTCTCCATCAGGACGAGATTGATATCTCTCTAAAGGACTGGAATTGAAGACATCATCATCTCCAGTATCATAGCTCTTAATTCTCTATTTGACTTAAATAGTCTTCCTCATTTCTCTGGTCTACTTGTATTTATGAATACATATGATCGACTAGAGCCTCTCAAACGTAAGCCAGTAGTACAAAATACTGCCTCTTGAGCACTAAGGATCTATGACTTATTACAGTTGTTCCTATTTTTAAACGTTTCTGTCTCTGGCTACAATTTACTGGCAATTCATCTAGCTTTCTTGCTATCTGTTGTTTAATCTATTCTGGCTCATCTTTACACATATAATGGCATACATATTTTGCTGCTCCATAGACATTTCCTCCTACTTCAATGTCCATGTTAGCTCTCCATGCTTTTAGTAGGTCAGGATTGTATGGATTTATCATCTCAGCACCTACTTCAAGTTTCAATATGTAGAAATGGGCTTTGTTTTCAACGTCAGCATTCCTTTGAGACGAGTTGTGTCACTTGGCCTCTTTGGGTAATCAAAGCGGCAGTGATTCCGTCCATTTTTTCTACATGTTTGTGTATGGTTATGCTTTTGTAATGGCAATACTAAATTTTTTAAATCATCATCTTCACCATCTTTGGGTACATGGCAACTAACACATTTATCAATGAAACCCGGAGCTTTCCTTCTACCTTCTACTGTCTTAATATCTGGTGCATCTTCTACCCACCATAGACTATGTATATGAGGTGAGCCTCTTTGTTGAAACTCAAGTCTCAAAAAGTAGTCTTTTATTTCACCTATAGGC